CAATGGGGCATTGGAGGCCCAAAGAAGAGTACGCTAGCGAGATGGAGTCTACTATTCATTTAGAGAGTCTTTGCTTCGTATCCGGAAGCCCTTTGGTGCGGTTACCGAAGCTGACAAAGAGTTGTTCCGACCGCCTATAGGGGGCGGAACGCTCAATATTGATTCTCAGAGCTCTGACGGGGCAGATAGCTCTCTGTCCTCTTCAGTTGGAGGAAGTGCGGAGAGGTCCCCTATTGGCTTTACTGATGCCAGTGCTAGAAGCAGAGCAGTCTTCAGCGATAGCGACCGAATGTTGGCAGACTGTAGCGGCTCGATAGCGGGGCCCTTCAGGGTCCTCAGCACAGTGGACAGATCCCATGAAGGGACGGTAGGGGGACGAGGTGGATTCAGCCTCCTGGCACCCCTTAGGAAGCAGATGACCACGCTGTTTCTGCCTACTGATTGGCCCTCAATTGGGGCATGAGAGGCCGCTATAGCCGCCACATAGACTTTGAGCGTGGATGGGGAACGTCCCTTATCCAACAGCTCTTGCAGAAATGACAATACTATGGCCAGAGCCCGTTCCGGCGTGACTACAGCTTTCATTTGGGCTGAGTCGAAAATTGTTCCCAGGAACGAAATTCGCTGGCTGGGAAGCAACGAGCTCTTGGAAAAATTGACCCTGAGTCCCAGGCACTCCAGGTGGCTGAGGAGGAGGGTCCTGTGTGATATTAATTCTGCCTCTGACTGGGCCAGAACGAGCCAGTCGTCAAGGTAATTGAGAATGCAGATTCCCATCTGTCTCAGAGGGGAGAGAGCCACGTCCATGCACTTCGTAAAAGTGCGGGGGGCCAGGGACAGCCCGAAAGGAAAGACCGTGTATTGATAAGCCACTCCCTCGAAGGCGAATCTCAAGAATCTCCTGTGACGGAGGGCTATCTGGATGTGAAAATATGCATCCTTCAGGTCCAGAGAAAAGAACCAGTCTCCTGAGCGAATTTTTTGCGCGAGGATCTGTTTCAGTGTAATCATCCTGAACGACCTATTCATGAGGGTGTGATTCAGGTGTCTGAGATCGAGGATGGGCCGGAGGCCACTATCTGTTTTGGGGATGAGGAAGTAACGGCTGTAGAAGCCTGACTCTCTCTGGGCTGGAGGAACTATTTCCACAGCTCCTTTTGCCAGCAAATTCATCACCTCTGAGCGCAGGATGTGAGCATCCTTGCTTTGCACTGAGATGGGGACCATGCCGCTGAAGTGCGGGGGTCTTCGAGCAAATTGGAGTGAATATCCCTTGTTTTATTATCCCCATAACCCATCTCGACACTCCGGGGATGGCCTGCCAGGCCTCAGCCCGCGTGGTGAGGGGTTGAATTAACTCGGGTGACTGGCCGCACGGGGGCAGAACACTTATGAGTAATGGAAGAGGAAGTTTGCTCTTTTTTTGAAAATGTTTGTGTTTTATTTTTTCCGCTATCACAGCAGTTGAATGCTTGGGCGCATGAACGGACCCGTTTGGTTTGCACAAAACACATTTCCCTCTGTACCACGAGTTGAATGGGGTGTCAAGAGGTCTAAGAGAGGCTGCTTGAGGGGCGATCTGGCCGTAGCGAGATCTGACCCCGTCCTCTTCCTGTCTCGCAGATCAGGATGACACCTGAGTCGCCGGGTCCAATGCAATCTTGGGTCAGGGTCCCTGGCGCTTAGGAAGACGGTAGCGTTTGGCCGAGCGAGAGTGGCAGGTGCTGGTTTTGCGGGCTGCTGAGTCGGCGCAGACTTAGGGCGAGCAGAGGCAGCAGCGGAGCTGGAGCGCTTAGGCAGGAAATGTTGCATAGCCTGGGACGATTTCTGTGCCTCCGTGAAGCGCTCAGCGAATCCTTCGACCGCCGGGCCGAAAAGACCTTTGGGAGAGACTGGAGCATCGAGGAAGGGGATCTTATCCGTGTCCTTAATCTTTGTCAGCGTCAGCCAAAAATGGCGCTCAAGCACCACAAGGCTGGCCATCGATCTCCCGATCACCTGGGCGGTGGTCTTGGTGGCGCTTAGAGCCAGGTCGGTTGTACTCCTCAGATCCCTGAGGGTCGCGGGGTCCAGGCCAGACTCATCGTTCAGCGCCGTCGATGGAAGTGAGGGCGGATGAAGAAGCAGTATGGAGGCGGATGTGGGCTCGCTCGCAGTCGGTTGCTCGACCCGCTGCCCCGCTGTTTTTTCCTCACAGGTCCCTGGGAGGAAGAAAACGGGAGCGTGGCATTTGCAACAACGCCAATTTCCTCTTTTAGAAGCTCTTTTAATATTGCCGGATGGCGGCAGGGGAAACGGACCGGAACTGCTGAGTCGCTGGAGCGGCGGAGAAGCAGGTCAGCCATGCTGTGAGGTCCCGATTCCAGCTGCGAAGGCGTGTCAACGGCGAGCGGCTTCGGATCAGCTTGAAGACGTAGAGTCGTCGCTGAAGGAGAAAAAATCTGAGAATCCTGTGGCGAACGCCCGCTTATATAGCCAGATGCCCCGCCCATTCTGGCGGGCTTTGGCGGGCTTCAACGCCATGAATGAAAACGCTTCAGTTCAGGAGAAAAAAGGCTTTTTTCCCATATGCGTCTAGCAAGACGCAGTACGAGTGTAGTATCGAAAGGGAATGTTTTTATACACACACAGCAGCACAGCTATGTAAAAAATCTTTAAAAGCATTTGCTAAATGCATAAATGTAAAACCATTTGCCTGAGACAACAGACAGTTATGCAGTTTAGTGTCATACAAAAAATAGGCAACACTTTACAATAAGGTCCCATTAGTTAACATTAGTTAGTGCATTACCTAACAATGAGAAACACAATGGGGTGTAGTACTTATTAGTAATTTTGTAATATTTGTTAGTATTTAGTAATTTTGTTTTTGTTTTTTATTAGTCATTTTTATTCGTTTTTTCTGTCTATATAGTTCTTATTAATTTTTATTTCAGTTTTAGTTATTTTAGTACTTCATGGTACACAAAACAAAAACAGTTAGCTTAAATAGAAGTTTACGTTAATTTATTTCATTTAACATTTATTTTATTTTAGTAATAATTTTTTTTATGATTTTAGTTTTAGTTAATGCTAATAACACTGGTATCAAGTTATTCAAGTCAGCTGGATGCAGACTAACTTTTAATGAATTTAACTGATTTTACTTTCTTTGTGGGTTGAAGACAAACCGGTGGACCTTCGTTCTTTGGACGTTCCCCCAGGTGAGATAATGATGTACCTCTGGAAACTGACAGCTGAAGATGGACCCACAGAAGCTGACCCACGATGCCTCACGCGCTTATACCAGAGTATGGTGGATCCCATCCGGGACGTGGCATCTGGGCTGGTGGGACCCCTTATCATCTGCAAATCCCAATCTCTGGACAAAAGAGGCAGAGTGGTGAGAAAGGACTCTGATGTAGATCTGTTTGTCTCTACCCAGACTGACTGGAAAAATGTGCCTGTAGCGACATTTCTGCAAAAATTGCACCTTTCACGGCACTTAGAAAGTGTAATGTCTAGTAAATGGTGCTAAAATCGAATGTTAAATGCAAAAGTGAGATAAAAACACATTTGCTGAATAAATCATGTAATTTTAGCTTGCTTCTTTAAGTCTTTGAGCTTATTTGCCGTGACTCGTGTTTTACGGGACTTCGCATCACAAGTGCATTGCTGTACTGGGTGCACTACCAAGCAAGTTTACCATTGCAGACAAGCCATACATATTGAGCTGGCTATGTGATGTAAACATGAAAATTTATTAGTTTACAAATGAATCAATATGGTAAAAGTGTTTGAGGTCATAACATAGTATTGTGCAAGGAAATAAGTCTTTATTACTAAATAATCTGCCCCTTAATCATAATTTGTATGAAAAAGAATAAAACTTGTTTTACTGCCCACAGTATACATTTCAGTTGGAAACTGCAATGAATTGCATGCATGTAGGTATAGTTTTATGCAAAAATGTAGGCAGAGGCACTCCTTTGCATTGAGCCTACAGTATGTTGGTTTATCTGATGGATAGATGGATGAATGGATGGAAATTATTAATAATATGTTTTCACAGGTAACTTCAGATAAAGAGAAGAAGCTCTTGTTCACTGTGTTTGATGAAAACAGAAGCTGGTACTTTGAGGAGAACATGAAAAAAAACAGTGAAGATCCAACTAAGATTGACCGCAATGATCCAGATTTCTACAATTCTAATGTCATGCACAGTGGGTGTTGATTTTTAGTCTCTGGATGTAAATTATTGAATAACCTGGGATTGCTTTGGGTATTTGTATTACTTAAAAACTGGATTGATCATTTTCCATGAGTTAAATTGCAGATCACTTTTTTATTTAGAGTTTCTGTCTGTGTTTCAGCTGTTAACGGGTTCATGTTCAACCACCTACAATTCAGGATGTGTGTTGGCGATGTCATACTCTGGCATGTGGCAAGCATTGGCATACAAAACAACTTCCTGTCAGTCTACTTTACAGGAAACACGTTTGAGAGGGATAAAACATATGGCACTGTCCTCACACTCTTCCCAATGACTGGAGACACAGTCACCAGTGAAGTGGAGATGCTAGGTAAGAGTATCAAGATATTGGCTGGAGCGGATGCTTTGAAAACTAAGAAGGTTTGATGAAGGGTTATTATCATTAAATAAAACTAAAATTAAAACTGTTAAAAACAAAATAAGCATGACCTGAAATAAAATAAAATATAATAAAAATTATTTGAGTTATTTGCTAAAGATGTTGTTATTTCCTATAGTTCTTGTTTAGTTTGAGTTGAATTACTAAAATAACAAAAACAAAAACTAAATAATAATTAATAAAAATTACATAGACATACACTGCCGGTCAAAAGTTAAAGGGGTCATATGACGTTGCTAAAAAGAACATTATTTGGTGTATTTGGTGTAATGAAATGTGTTTATGCGGTTTAAGGTTCAAAAAACACATTATTTTTTTTATACTGTGCATTATTGTTTCTCCTCTATGCCCCGCCTTTCTGAAACGCGTCGATTTTTAAAATGAGGCATTTGTTGCATCCAGTGGGGACATAATTACATATTATAATTACTTATACTGTCTGTTGCATCACGCCGCATAAACATAAAACCATGTCTGCATTTGTGATCGGAGAAATGACAAACAACAAGCGTTACTCTACACTGCTCAAAACTCGTGTTTGAATCATCAGTGGCAAATCCTTTAAATATGAAAAATGTACTTACAGTCTGTGATTCAGAACAGGTCAGGAAACAGTCCTCCATAAAATGCGCTGCACACATCTGAATGAATATTTGGGTTGAACTGTTTTGGAACAGTGTTGTAAATACAACTTAACCACTGATTTCTAGTCGTGTCCTCTTTTGGAAGGCCAAACAAAGTAGTTTCGCTTTCACAACGAAACACACAGCGTCTACTTTAGGGATCTTATCTATTCACAAACAGCTTGTAACACTCCAAAGAGAAAGGAAAACTTGAAATTGCATCATATGACCCCTTTAATATAATACTTTTGTAAAATCTCTATAATATTTCACAATATTAATGTCTTTACTGTATTCATGATCAAATAGTTGCAGTGTTAGTGAGAATAGACTTCAAAAACATTTAAAAATGTGGAATTATATTCCAAACCTTTGACCAGTAGTGTATTTTAAAAAAACATCTAAATTAATAAAATGTAAAGTAAAATTAAAATTAAAAAAGGAAAATATAAAAACTAATTATAGAAAAAAATATTCCTTTTGTAATTTCCTTTTGTATAGCAGCTTATAGCTGAATAGAACTTGTTTATTAATTGATTCACTTTGACAGTTATTGAACTGAACTAAATCCACAGTGAACTAAATTGAACTGAAATTGACACTATAACCTTCTGTAGAGCTGCTTTACAGTTGAAATTAAATTTTTCGTAAATTGATGAATTCTGCCATATTAAGTTATTTTTCCTGTTTATTAATGTAAAGCTGCACTGAAACAGTATATATTGAAAAAAAATGCTGTTTAGGGCGGATCAAGTTATCAATGAAAGATTATGAAGATTATCATTCATAATTAAACCAGGAACCTGTTTTGATACCATGTTCATAAGTTTGATATTTGAACTTTGTAGGTGAATGGGAGGTCAGCGCATTTGACCCGTCTCTGAAACAGCGAGGCATGAGTGTTCGCTACACGGTTGTTAACTGTGAAAGAGTCCTACCTGTGGTGGACAATCAAGACTACGATGACGAATTAAATGAATTCATTGAACAGAATTTCCCGATTCCACGAGGCACAATGGAAAAGGACCGCACTATCGCTGTTCACGTGTGCCGAAACAGAACTGTGACAGACTCTGCGATTGGGCGAGAAAACATGAGCTCAGACACTGAGAGACAAAACAGAACTCGTGTGTGTGAGATAAGATATATTCCCATAAAGCGAGAAAACGATCTGGATGTGCTATCACAGGGCGGTATTCCACAGGATATTTTGGATCAACTGGACGGGGAGATGAGCGGAAATTCATTGGAACGTCAAAAAAGGTCCCACCATGAATCTGAGCCTTACAGAAGAAGGCCAAATGTGATTGATCCTACAGTCATATCAAATACAGCAGAAAACAAGGCATTAACAGGAGAACATCAAAATATGAACATTGCAAACATACAGTTGAATGAAGATGATGACAATAAAACTCATCCAACAAATGACCTATTTCGAAAATTACTTTTTAAAGATAAAAACCTGTTGAACCACCAACTTCTAAACGACTCTACGGAAGAGAAATCAGAGAAAGTGAGGAATCGAAGGGAGTTGTGGAGCGTCAGCAAAGACAAAATAAACAAAGTGGATGCGAAAGTTCAGAACAACAATGAAGTTCTGAAAGACTCTGGAAGTTCTGGTCTAAAGCAGGATAATATGGAGGAAAATTTGAATCTTCATAGCTATGACTACAAAGATCCAAAGAAGTTCCAACCAGATTTGGAATCAGTTTTGGAGCCAGTGTCAAATTCATCAGATAACCAGACCTATGGCAGGAAATCACTGGTAAGTGACTATGATGATTATGGCGATGAAGGAAGTGTTCTCGGTTTGGAGCATCATGTTGAAGATAATGTCGGCATTAGGTCCACGGAATCAAGGTTCAGAAGTTACTATATCGCAGCAGAGGAAATCATGTGGGATTATGGGATCAATAAACCAGCTCAACTCATCAAACCAAGGTAAAAAAAACATTCTGATCAGCCACAAACATATTTTTGGTAATTTTAGTGGACAATTCTAAATAATTTCTAATGTTTCAAGTCTTAAAGGGGTCATATGATGCGATTTCAAGTTTTATGTGAAGACGCTGTGTGTTTCGTTGTGAAAGTGAAAATACTTTATTTGGCCTTCCAAAAGAGGACACAACTAGAAATCAGTGGTTAAGTTGACCAAATACACAAAATAAAGTTTTTTTTTAGCAACATAATATGACCCCTTTAAATAATAATAATAATGATACCTTTCATTTATAAGTGCCTTTCAATTCACTCAAAGACACCTTACAGCAAAAACACTGAAATACAAATAACATAAACACAACACAAATAGTAAACACAAACATATAAATTAAACAATCAAATCACTAAAAGCTGTTCTAAACAAATATGTTTTAATCTGAGTTTTAAACTGGGAAATAGAATTCAGTTGGCGAATATGCAATTGTAAGGAATTGCATAATTTTAACGCTAGCACCAAAAGAATATAAGATATTGTATAAAATCAAATTCTTGGTGGTGTCGGACTGAATCAGATCCATTTAGGTTAGTTGTTTAGTTGTATACAGTTAGTTAGTTATAGCCTGAAGAGCAAAAATGCCTTAAAATCCTTATTTTTCATAGAAATGTCATAACCACATTTTTGTTCATTTTAGCAGACAATTCTCAAATATTTCTAATCACACAAATATAATATGAAATTATATATATTAATGTTACAAATTGTATAAAATCTCATTTTTGGTGATGTCTGATTGAATCAAATCTATTTAGATGTTTGTAAATAGTTAGTTTTAGTCTCGAGAGCAGAAAAACAATCCTAAATCCTTATTTGTCAAAAAAAATTTCACAATGCAATGCTGTTTTAGATCAAGATATTAATATTATTGCTTTTCAAATTAAGCCTAAAACCAGCCTTAAAGGCTTGGTCAATTGTACTTGCACTAAATATTTCATGTGCTCACAGGGACATGCGGAGGGGAATGAGAAAATATTTCCCAGCCTATAAAAAAGTGGTTTTCAGAGCCTATCAGGACAGAGATTTCAAGCATCCAATCAAACGAGGAGAACTGGACGAGCACCTCGGCATTATGGGTCCTGTGTTGAAGGCAGAAATCAATGATGTTCTTACTGTAAGTTTCTTCATTAATAGGAACTATTAAAAGGAGCCTTTTCATTTAATTGAATATTGCATTCTTAAGGTGCAGTCACATTTACTGTTATTTGGATGAATTTTCATTGGCGAAATCCAGTCGTTTCAATAGAAAATATATAGTTCAGTCATGAAACTCTAGATGGCGCAGGCGACGGGTTGTTAACTTAACCGATGATATTCAGAGAGTTAAACGACTTGGCACAAGCTGATTGGTTCATGCTGCATATGCAGCCAATGAGCTTACTGCCTTGCATTTATATGGCTGGCTAGCATTCACTTGAGATTCCTGCAGCGCGTTTCCACCTTCCCCAGCTCCACCTGTATAGATCTGCTACAGGTTATTTTTATATGCTATTTGTGCAGCAGCAGCATGTCTTAAATACTCACGGCACGCAGCGTAGCAGATCTATTCCTCCAAGACCAAATACATTAACATTGTCATATCCATCACCATGCTAAAATCTTCCGAGAGTTGTCATGATTGAATTCAAGTTAAGACAAAAGATTTTTCCACGAAGATCACAACGAGTTCAAGCTGGTTATGCTAATTTGTTGCACTGACCAAAAGAAAGCTGTTTAAAAGTGACTTCTGTGTGAGCTGTGCTTCATACGTTGCTACATCATTGACAACAGAAAACTGTCCTTGAAATTTTGAGGAAATTTCTCTAATGTAGCCTCCGAACCTCCTACTTACTTCCTAATCTAACATTCTAATAAATGTGACATTGCATACTACGAATATTATTGGCTCTGTGACGAATTGCTTACGCTGCTCTATTGTAAGTCGCTTTGTATAAAAGCATCTGCTGAATGTATAAATGTGACCACCCCTTTGTCATTGCACACGCTAATTTCTTGCATTTCTTTTCCCAAAAGGTGGTTTTCAAGAACCTGGCATCCAGACCGTACTCTTTCCACTTGCATGGGGTGTACGATAAGACGCAGGGGAGTTTTAGCCCTGGAACGGGCCCAGAAGGCACCAAGGCCGAACAAGTACCAGGTGATCCAGTTCCTCCAGGGGAGGAGAGGGTTTACAACTGGAGAATCTCCAGACGACAAGGTCCCTCAGCGTCAGAGTTTGACTGCAAGGCTGGAGCATACTACTCCGACGTTAACATGGTAATTCAATGTGCAACACATGAATCAAAATCAGGTTGAAGCACAAAAATTGTACGTTTTCATGTTGTCTTTAATCCTATAAAGCCTCCTGTATCATATTTGATATACAAATTTCTAAGGCCTCTAAATGATCAAAACCTGTTGCACACAATCTACTACATGCACTTTGTCATCTGATTGATAGTTTATACTTTTTTAGCAAGTAAAAGGCCTTTAGTATAATTGTAAAAACATCAGGTCACCTTCAGGTCATGGTTCATGTGTGTTTGCTGTGAAATCAGATTTTTATAAAGTAAACGTAAGTGTAAATGTATTTTTCAACATTTTTTCATGATGAGCACTTACTGGATTTAGGTTTACTTGATTATCAATGCATAATTTTTTAGAAAAATCAATTTGAGAGTATGAACTCCATATTCTCACTACATATGAACCATAAAAGCCTGATCAAATGACGCTCAACAAAAAAATTCCCAGAGTATGGATGAACTGATAAAATGTACAGTATGGCTTAAATGCAATGCAAGTCGCTTTGGATAAAAGCGTCTGCCAAACATATAAATGTAAACTTAAATAACTTCTGTATTCCTCCTGCATTCAACAGGAGAAGGACATAAACTCTGGTCTAATCGGTCCAATGCTGATATGTCGTCCTGGTATCCTTCGTCCACGCGACTTGCTTCAGCCCGACGTGATGGATTTCTTCCTTCTCTTCACCACCTTTGATGAAAGAAAGAGCTGGTACCTCGACTACAACACCAGGAAGTTTTGCACCCCTCCCTGCCAGGCCAAAGTAGATGACCCCTGGTTTGAGATGAGCAACAAGTTTGCGGGTACATTTTAATAATTTATGATTAACATTGCATTCATCTCTTACGAGACAACCAGTCGGATCTGTTTATGTTCTTTGTCTCAAAAAAGATTTGTTTCTATGACAACGCTAATAACACCAAACAGACACATGAGTGTTTGTGCTTGTTATTGTGTTACTTATGTAAACACTTTTCTATTACTTTTCCTTTGTACAAGAAACAGGACGTATAATGTAGCATGCTGAACTAATTTAGCTAATTGCCAATGTTCCAAACACCCAGTTTTTCTAAATACAAACAAACGATTTGGAAATTCATTGACTCAGGGCAACACATCTATATTTAGATTTATGCATTTGGTTGCTGATTTTATCCAAAACAACTTACAATGCATTCAAGGTATAAATTTTTTTTTAGTTTGCGCATTACCTGGGAACTGAACCTATGACCTTGGCATATTAGGAAATGTAATAATAGCCATAATTATTGTGTTGTATTTCTTGATTCTTGTAGCTATTAATGGCTATGTGTCAGAGACGCTTCCTGGCCTGATAGTTGAACAGTACCGGACGGCTCGCTGGCACCTCCTCAACGTTGGGAGTCAAGGCGAGTTTCACGCCATACACTTTCACGGACTGCCGTTCGGAGTCGGAAAAAATCAGGAACACCGTATGGGAGTTTTCAATCTCTATCCCGGTAAACTATAAACAAATACACAAACCTTTCACTTTCATATATATATATATTCTAAAATATTTTTGAAAGAAGCCTCTTATGCTCTCCCTTTTTAATAAAACATACAGTAAAAACTGTAATGTAAAATATTATTAAAATAATATTAAAACTAAAAAAGTTTTCTATTTTAATAAAATGTAATTAATTTCTGTGATGCAAAGCTGAATTTTTTAGCATCATTATTCCAGTCTTCAGTGTTACATGATCCTTCAGAAATCATTTTTTAAATTTATTTTACTTTAATTTTATTAAAAATATTACTCATTTTGTTGTGTTTTGTCATTTTGTGTTTGATTTTATTTCAAATAATGAAAAAACTATAGGTTTCGTTTTAGTTAACTATAATAATGCAATGATAAAACTGGCTGATGATAAAACCGGTGCAGATCCCATAGAAAATCCATAGGGCTCTTTTGACTTTGGCCACAAAATCTAATGTTTTTAATCAAATATTTCCACATTTATTGAACTGTTGAAATCCCATTTCTCTGCAGGTGACTGGAAGCCAAGTTTAGCCAGACTTGAGTTATCTGGCTCTATTAATGCCTGGATGGGCAGCGGCACAGACTCCTGGCTCCAGGTAAAAGAAATATTTTGTTTGCAGACGTAACATGCTGTCCTTTGGCTGATTTGTAAGGAACTGTGTTAAATGCTTTCCCGGTCATGGGCCATGATGGCTCATATTTAAAGTTAAAAATAACACATTATGATTCATTTGTGGCTCATATCTCACAAAGTGTCACAGACAATAGTGACTCTTTGCACCACAGTCAGCAAGTCATGACACATTATACTTTCACTGTCAGCAAGACAAAGTGGGAAATACTTTTAAATACTATAAATAGGTTTGCGCAGAAGATTTTATTTAACCTTTGCTTCAATAGTGGAATAGTAGAAAATGTGTAGGATATAAAACAATTCACTATTTTTAGCAGGGTTCATATGATGGTGGGTTTCCTGGAAAGGCCTGGAAAAGTTCTGGGCATTTATAAAATCTTAATCTTAACACTGAAAACTAATTACTTTTTTTTTTTTTTTGCGGATGTTATTTTTAGCAATGCACAACTTGCTATTCCATTGTTTTAAATTGTTTTAGTAAATAAGCACAAATTCATTGTTAAAAAACAGAATGAGATAACTTTCCATATCTATTCTCTGTTACTCTGTGTGTTGTGTTAGGTGGATCTGCTGAGGCCCATGCTTCTTCATGGCATTCGGACTCAGGGTGCAAAGACCTCGATGGGTTTGAGCGAGTATTTCACTATCCTGTACACCGTCAGTTACAGCATCGACCAGGAGAACTGGACTACCTACCGAGGAAACAGTACCAAGTCATCTTACGTCAGTACCAACATCTGAATTTCTCTAAACTTAACTGATTTAAAGAGGCCATACTGTGTGCTTTTTGTAGCATTTTACTTTTTTGCTCCCCGAAGTTCTCTTATAATGTTAGTAAATATTTATTTCACTGTTATTTAGTGTTAGCATAATGACCATTTCCACCCTCACCCTTTTTTTTACCTCTGTATCTTTTAACAATACAATTTAACAGCAATTTTTTTTTTAAATATCAAAAATCACAATTTTAAGGCCCTATGAAATATGTTTTTCCCCCTCAATACCATTTCCACCCTCACCCTTTTTTTTACCTCTGTATCTTTTAACAATACAATTTAACAGCAATTTTTTTTTTTAAATATCAAAAATCACAATTTTAAGGCCCTATGAAATATGTTTTTCCCCCTCAAATTCAGTATTTTTTTTTTTACCAATTTCTGGATTTCATTTTAATGGTTTCATTAAATATTAATAATCAAAAGCATCTCTAATTGATTTTATAAAAAAATTTTTTTATTATTTTCTTTCTTTCTTTTTTACAGAAATACTGTGTTGTGTATTTACATGCTAAATAAATTCTAGTAGATATTTGTTTCTGGTAAATAATGTTTTAATAATAATTTTATTATTAGAAGTAGTACTACTATCGTTGCATTAAGTAATGCATTTCTTTCACAGTTTCTTCAAGTTAAACCAAACTTTTATTTTGACTGGTTGCTGTTAAGATCTTTACATTTCTGTTTGTATATGATATACAAAGAGGCAGAGGCTTTTTGGCCTTTTTTTGTTTTGAGGGTGAAAAGTGATCTGGAAATTGTTTTTGTGACATTTGTCCTTTAGGACTTATAAATGAAACATAATTTAAGATTGCCTAATGTCTTTGCATTTTAAATAAGTAAAAACATCTCTGGCGTTCATATACATAAATATAGATATACATAAATATGTTAACATATTATATATAACTTATAACTTATTCAATCTTCTAGAAATTTCCATCACGTTTTTTTGTGATAATCATATTCTAAGAGCTATTTAAAGAAAAATTCTAGCCGGCTACAAACGCTTCACCCATTAAATATAATATTTTGCCCATTAAACATCGCAATCTTAAAGGGGTCATATGATGCTATTTTAAAGATCATTATTTTGTGTATTTGGTGTAACAGAATATGTTGCATGATGAAACTCACTTCTACAAATTATTTTTCCAGTGAAACTGATCTGCTTCCATTTCTAAAAAAGTGCTATCCTAATTACAAATGTGACTATTCTTGTATCTTTTATACTTTCGGTATTATTCACATCTGTTTTCTTGTTATCAGACCTTCAATGGAAACATGGACGGTTCCAGAATAAAGGAGAACTTGTTTTCTCCACCCATTGTGGGTCGCTACATCCGAATTCACCCACTGACTTTTCAGAAGCAGCCCACGCTGAGGATTGAGCTGCTGGGATGTGACCTTAATAGTGAGTGAACACACACGGATTGATTACAGCACTTTCTAACGAAAAACTGAAGGAAAAGAAAAAGACGCTAAAGAAAAGGGAAATCCGAACACTACATCAACACTATTCAAATGACAAGACTCTGTATGTTTTTGCAAAGCACATTTCTTCTTTACCTTTGTACGCCATTTTTATCAGTATGTAGCGATTTAAAAATGAAAATCTGAAAGCTCTGGATGTTTTTGTTAGTTCATGAGCATATGTCATCCTGCTGTAGCATCAGAAAGATCAACTTTCTACTTTCATTCAAGTTTCAAAGCTTTCTAACTACAGCATTCCTGGTTTACTCTCTTGATTTTCAACACCTTTTCTCCCTTCAGGCATCAATGGCAATGTCCAAAGCTTCATTATCTGAGAAAAGTTTGAGTCGAAAAGTTTCTTTTAATTGAGAGAGCTGAATAATACATATTTCTGCACATTTAGATACACTTCTCCTAAACAAGTCCCTTGCAGTATAGATGTTTTTCAGGCTAATATGTTCTTCAAACCAGGGTCATAGTTAACTAAAACTAAAACCATAAGAAAAATTTTTTTGTTATTTTAAATAAACAATAAATGAAATATAAAAACCGTTAACTTATTACATATAATTTATATAAATATTTGGTCACACTGTAGTTTAAGGTCCAATTCCCGCTATTAACAAACCATGAACTTCGACTTTGGTCTCAATAAACTCCTAATTTGCTGCTTATTAATAGTTAGTAAGGTGGTTGTTAAGTTTAGGTATTGGGTAGGATTAGGGATGTAGAATACGGTCATGCAAAATATGTGCTTTGTAGTACTAATAAACAGCCAATATGTTAATTATAGTCAAGCAAATAAGCAACTAGTTAATAGTGAGAATTGTTATCAAATATTTTTTCCAACTTATTTTGTCTACTTATTTTATCTATCTTAATATTTGGCAAGGCAGTATTTCCCATTTTGATTTATTTCAACTTGATGTACTAAAATAAGCAAAACTGAACTACATTTGTCCTTTAAGACTTGTATGCATTATTTAGTACTGGCTAACCTCTTTGCACATTACATTTACATTTACATTTAGTCATTTAGCAGACGCTTTTATCCAAAGCGACTTACAAATGAGGACAATAAAAGCAGTCAAAACTAACAAAAGAGCAACAATATATAAGTGCAAATGACAAGTCTCGGTTAGCCTAACGTAGTACACGTAGCAAGGTGTATATATATACACATACATACATATTATACACACACACAAACAAAGAAAAACAAGTAGATAGAATAGAAAAAAATAGAAAGCTAGTGTTTGTTTTTTGTTGTTGTTTTTTTTTTTTTTTTAAATAAAGAACAAAAAAATGAAAAAGATAAATATAAAGTAGAATTATAATAGAATAGAAAGTGTTAGAGTTAGAGGGTCAAATAAAGGTGGAACAGATGTGTTTTTAGTCGTTTAGTTTAGTTGTTTAGTGTGTGTTAGTCGCACATGAAATGAGTAGCAAGCTATCTGGCTTTGATATACAAAAATGTACATATACATAAATATGTTGACATAGTACATCAGACTCTATTTGAGTCAGACTTTATTTGAGAAAAAAAATCTAAATCACTGTTACTGGAGAGTACATGTCTTTTAGTTTAAGCCTGACATTTTTATTGTGATTTATTTTAAGAAAAAAGTTGTAAAAAAATATAAATAAATAAAAAAGGACAAAATGCACAACAAAATTACTAAAGCGTTAATGAAAATTAAAATAAAAATGGAAAAATGGTAGTAAAATCACTGCTTCAAACAGATAAAAGCATGTTTGTTTGTGTGTTTGTCAGGTTGTTCTATGCCGCTGGGAATGGAGCGCAGGTTGATTCCCAGCAGCAGCATCAGTGCCTCCTCATTCTTAAACAAGTGGTTACTGTCCTGGAGTCCCGACCTCGCTAGACTCCACCAGGAGGGGCGAGCAAATGCATGGAGACCCAAGGTATCTATCTATCTATCTATCTATCTATCTATCTATCTGTCTGTCTGTCCCTCCATCTGTCTATCTATCCGTCCCTCCATTTGTCTACCTGTCTGTCTGTCTGTCTGTCTATCTATTCAATCACTGTATGTTGTTCTTAGAGAGAGTAAAAAGTGAATTTTCTTTCTACACTGTGTGTTTTATAAGCCCATTGTGAGAGTGTTTCCTCTATCCTGTCTGTCAGTGTGAAAGTGAGGCGATCCCTCCATTGTCTCACTCTCTCTATCGCTCTTTCTACTTCCTCTTTGAGCTGCACAGAGAGCCAAGCGCTGTCAGTCAGGTGGATTTACGAGTTAATTAGAGTGATTTAGAGCGCAGCTCCTTTCCACATGGAATTCTGTTCTGCACAATATCTTTCAATTTATACCTGCAGAAATCAGTGCTTCTTAAAGGGGGCATAACACACACAGTTTTACCCAATCTCATGTTAATCTTGAGTACCTATAGAGTAGTACTGCATCCTTCATATCTCCAAAAAGGTAAGAAAAATTATCCATTTGTTGGTAGATTTATCCACATTCATTCTGCACATGGGTGTTTGTTTCTCTCAGTGTGAACATTCAATTTTTCATTACTGTAAAAAAATTGTTAAACTGATCATATTATATTTTGTCTCCTTCTGTCTCCCTTCTCTTCTTCTCTGGTTCTGCAGACTAATAACCCTCATGAGTGGTTACAGGTGGACTTTCTCTCTGTGAAGAGAGTGACCGGGGTGGTCACACAGGGGGCCCGATCTGTCCTGAAACCAATGATAGTCACTGAATTTACCGTCTCTATTAGCAATGATGGTCACAAATGGTCCAGTGTGAAGGAGCAGGGAACAGACAGTGAAAAGGTACTGCTATATTTATGTGTATTGAATGATACCAAACAGATTTTGCCTCACGAAAAACAAGTCCAAGTTGTATTTCACTCAAAAATAACAAAACTTAATTTTTCCATAAAGGAAGTAAAGTTTTAATTAAAAGGGTCATATGATGCGATTTCAAGTTTTCCTTTCTCTTTGGAGTGTTACAAGCTGATTGTGCATAGATAAGATCCCTGAACATCATATGACCCCTTTAAGTTTTTTTTTTTTTTTTTGCATTATGGCATTATTTTCTTGATAATTAAGCACATTTCCCCACAAAATTCAAATGTATGTGCATTTTTATGTGCATAAGAAAATAAGAAAATGAATGGAGGTTTGGCTGGAGACCAAATGAATTGCCAATTAAGTACATTAGGCAAAAAAATGTGATAGCCCTAAGATAGGTTTAATTTTATCATAAGAATCAAATATAATCAATATGATTCTTTCTTTCTTTCTTTTGATTTTGGGGTGAAATATGACCTGCACATGTTCTTGATGGGAGTCACCCATTCATGTCTATGGTGTTTTGTTTCTTTTTCATCCTGATGTAGATCTTTGAGGGAAACAGCGAGCATGATGAAGAGGCGCTGAACGTGTTTGATCCTCCCCTGTTCGCTCGCTTTATACGGATTCACCCGAAAGGCTGGGTCAACGATATTGCCCTGCGGCTGGAGTTTTTGGGCTGTGACACTCAACCCTTTGAGAGAAAGTGAGATCGATCCATTGTGGTTGAAAGACACCGTTTTTGACTTTGTCTAAATGTCTAAAAACCACACGGCTCTGTTCCAAACTATACGTTTGCATCATAGTATGTGACTGATCTGCTAGGCCGGTCTGGTGGTTTTAGAGTGGTTTTGTGCACTTGTCAGCTGGGAGACTGCCTATGATGCCAAAAAATGCTGTCTAGGTAGGCAGCTCACTTTGGCTTTGAACAGAGCCCACATAAGCACTACATAGGTTTATCTCTAGAACAGGTTTTTGTCATGTGATATGATGATTTATGTGTTTTGAATCTGGTTGGTTGTATGTTCTTAGTGTTCTGATCAGTACTCTGCTCATTTTACTGTCTGCTTTTGAGTTATTATTATAGAAAATAAATTACCAATATCTATTTTTCTAATAAATGTACCCTTGCATATGAAAACTCACAGAAGATTGTTTGTTTGGTTATTAGATGTTTGTATATTCTGGACTGGAATAACTACGGAATCCGCCATATGCTGTACTTTTGTATTTTGCACTGTGAAACAGGAGGGAGATTATTTTTTTCCCCAAATATTTAATGTTTAATTGTGGAAATAAGACTATGAAAATGCCTTGATTTTCCCAGCGTCTTTGTGCTTTGTGTTTCTTTGACAAATATTATTCTTTCACAGACTGTTTTCTTCCCTTTTGGTGTTTTGCCTGTAAAAGTCAGTGAATCTGTTTTCAACACCTGGCATACAGCATTCTTATTATTATTTATGACTATAATATCTGCTTCTTCATCAAAATGCGCACATTTATGCACACGCACACACAAAGTCTCCATAAAATGTGTGAAATTACTGGTGATGCAGATTATTGAAACGTGGTTTATTGTTCACGGTCACATCACAATTCTGCATGCGGAAAGACAATGAACAGAGAAGCAAACAGACTTGCAGGCGAAGGGTGGGATGAAGAGGCCCACAGGAATACGATAGCATTTCCATGTTCTGGCCGAGATAAAAATGGAGCGTACTATCAGTTCCTGTTTGACAGGAAGTGCTCTGGGGATGTGTTTAGCTTGGAGGGAAAATGAAGGCCTGACTCTGAAAGAAGTCTGTGACCTATTGTGTCACCTGTTATCTCATCAAAGGCAAACACTGCTGCTGAGGAACAAACACACGATTGGAAGCAACTTCACTAACTTTCATTTCTTTCATTAGGTCATTACAAAACATTACTGCATAATGCTTAACAGATCAGTCATGTACATGCTATGTCACCATTGTTTCTGTTCAAATACGAAATCTGAATTTTGTATATTTATTTATTGTTTCTGTATTGTTTATATTACATTACATTATAGTGATGCCTTGTATTTTGTTCTGCATTGTATCCTCCAACTTCGGGAAGTTTTTCAAATTAAAAAAAAAAAGTTCAAACCAACCATTTTGTTGAAGTAAAATGTAAAGCTAGGTTCTCTCTATTTTTAAAGTATCTATTTATTTATTTTAGAATGCTTATCTTTATTTTTAGACTTTTCAATAGGCCTATACATTTAAATATTCTTTTAAAAATGCTAATTTCTTTATATTATATTATATCATATTATATTAATTATATTATATTATATTCTTTTGTTATTGCATAAAATTATTCTAGTTGATAGGATGTGTTTCTCTTTTATAATAATAATAATAATTAATAAATAAAATATAGTATAATATAAATTAGTATCTATTTAATTATTTTTTAGTATATGTTTGTATATATTTTTAGACTTTTCAGTAGACTTATTCATTTAAATATTCCTTTTTAAAATGCACATCTGTGTCTCTTGTGTACTCTTGTGAACGCACATCAACTGACACGGAAGAGAAGAAATTGTTGAATAAAGTCGTTATTTTTGCTTTCTTTGCACACAAAAAGTATTCTCGTAGCTTCATAAAACCACTGAGGTCACATGGACTATTTTAACGATGTCCTTACTATCTTTCTGGGCCTTGAATGTGGTAGTTGCGTTGATGTCTATGCAGGGTCAGAAAGCTCTCAGGTTTCATCAAAAATATCTTAATTTGTGTTTCTGAAGATGAATGAAGGTCTTACAGGTTTGGAATGACATTAATTATTGACAGAATTTTTATCTTTAGGTGAACTATTCCTTTAAGCCCACCTTTTCTGTGGAGATGCCAGCATCTGCTTTACTCTTCATTGATCCCGTAGTAGGGCAGCACATGTTGAGCTCATTCTGACAGTGACTCAGCATGTCATTCTTCATGCCTTACCAGCATCACTGGAACGGAAGAAACATGACTCAATTATTTAACTGTGAGTAAAACTGCCCTCAGTAATGGATTAAATAACGCTGTTACTACTGTTTCCTACCGACATACTCCAACATAGGCATATAAAAATGGGTTTTGGTGCTGTTTCAGTAGTCAACAGTGACTAAATCGGTTGAATCCGGGGGCACAGACGCTTTGAGTAACACATTTAAAAAGGCAGATGGTGATTTGATGTCTTACACACTTCATCTCTTTACAACTGCAATCCTGTCATCTGTTACCTGCTATTTTTTCCTAGCGAGCCTGCTGCGTTTTAAATTATGGGAGGCACTTCCGGTTTAAGGGATGTTCCACTTTAAGAGATTGCAATCATTTCAAATTATAATGCTGCACTACAAATCTTTATATGAAAGTTGAACTAAATGAGCTGTAAATTTTCCTTCATGTTTTATGGAGGAAAGTCTCGCTAATTTAAGTTACAAATACCTGCCCAGCTCTTAAGTTTAAACAAAAATAAGAAGGATGCAGGCCACGCATTACCATATATGTCCACATGATCAGGTTGTATTTGCTTAATATTTACAAGGAATTTGCTAGCCTCATAAAACAGATCTGGAAATAATATCGTAAACCTTACTGGCATGTAAATTGATCTCTTGTGCTTCTGTAATGAATTCAGACTGTCTCTTGGTATTTCCGTTTGTTGGTGTGTGTGTGTGTGTGTGTGTGTGTGTGTGTGTGTGTGTACATGGTATTTATCACATTATGGGGACCAAATGTTCCCACAAGGATAGTAATATCAGTAAATTTTGTCCTTGTGGGGACATTTTTTAGGTCCTCGAGGAAACAAGCTTATAAATCATACAGAATGAAGTTTTTTGAAAGTCTAAAAATGCAGAAAGTTTCCTGTGAGGGGTAGGTTTAAGTGTAGGGCGATAGAAAATCCAGTTTGTACAGTTTAAAACCATTACACAGATGGAATGTCCCCATAAAACATGGAAACACAATGTATGTGTTTGTGTGTGTGTGTGTGTGTGTGTGTGTGTAGACATTACATTAGTGTATTGTATTACTTAAATTAAAAATCAGATTAGTGATAGGTGACAAACTGTTAAAAAAGTTAAAAGTGCAACTCATTCTTTCCATGGTAAGATATCCATATAACGTTACATGGAAATTTATTTTGAAACTTATTTGAAAGAGTTCTGTTTTCTTACTTAACAAGATATGAAAATATCAAGAGTATAAAAGAGGAAGAAGATGAAGAACCGAGAAAAAGTGAATGACACAGAGGGCTGTAACAGTGAATTTCATTGTAGAGTCAGAGGTAATGCGGTTTGCTCTTCGTGTGGAAATCCACTCAGCGGCAGATATACATCATAACACTGACTATATGTGCTCGGAATGAATTCATTAGGGAAGAGTGGGGACGGTTGCAACACTTTTTGCATTTGCTTTAGTTTCTCAGAGACTGTTTGCATTAGAAAGCCAGAATTATATTACAATAAAGCCACATCAGTCAGCTACTCACCCCACATTGCTGTAACATGTGCACATATGATTATATACATACAATTTATACTTGAATAGACAAAGTCAAATGTTGCAACTGACCCCACAACAGGGGACGGTTGCAACAGTCCACAGGGGCAGTTGCAACATTCATTAAAATGTAATTAAAACATTTCTTAAATATCATTTTGCAATTTCTTTATTTTATTTGTGCATAGACATGGTCTTTAATAAGTTAAATTGGCTGTATAAAAAACAAAGAATAGTAAATGGGGGGAAAAAAACATTTTCAATTAACAACCATGTCTTGGTTAATTATTACAATACATTTGAACTACAAAATATTAATTTAATCAAAATCAAGATACTGAAATTTAATAATTGCCTACTTCTGTTAACTTCTGTGAAAGTTTACTGAACTAGGGCCAGTTGCATAAACATAGCCACTATATGTTAAAGGGGTCATATGATGCTTTTTTAAAGATCATTATTTTGTGTATTTGGTGTAACAGAATATGTTGACATGCTTTAATGTTCAA